TATTCCAAAGTATAATAATTCCAAAGGTTTGTACTTTGACTACCTTAAAGATGAATTCCTCGCACTAAAAATGAGCTCATAGCAACAAATTTTTTCTCAACAATTATGTCCAAAACAGCACTTTAAATGAAAATCACTTAAAGATCATGCTCAGTTGCAGCCTAAATGGATTTTAAATTTACTACAAAATCGGCACCTCTTATTTGTGTATAGTGGTATCTGTTTATGAAATTCAACATTGCATGAAGCATCCGTCAATTGAAAGAAGACAAAAAGAAATGTATTATGGCAAACGAAATGAGGTGATTTTGAGAGAACCTCGAGTAAGAGAAGTCTGAAGATTTGAATTAACCTGGTTGAACGAACCAGAGGGTTTGAGTCCAAAACGACCGGACGAGCTGTCAGCATAATATTGATTTCAGAGCATTGTGATTGTTGGCCGAAAAGAGGCATTCAGACACAGTGATTGGGTGAAACTTATTCGAAATTCACACGGGTGTTGACAAAAATAAAAATTAATGAACAAACTTCTTTTAAATTAGTTAAACTGTGGTTATCAATTGTCATCAATTGTCCAATCATAGGCCTCTCGGTTTTATCAATTTAAAAAGTCAACTTTCAGTCAAACTGTTCTAAACAAGAAACTTTTAAGCATTTCATTTCTTTGAGTCGCAATGCGAGAAATGAAGGAAAGTCGGCGATTTAATTTCAATCATAATGGAAAACAAATTTCAAATTGAGTTCACATTGCGACATCTACTGTTATTGCTGCAATACCTGAATTTCAAATGCCTATTTAACATTTGTACTGCTCTAATGTGCCTTGGAAGGTGGAAAACGCCATTGGCGCCGATAATTCCAATGTCGGTTGCAAATATCACCGCATTATCGATTCCTCCAGTTAAATTCATCTGCTCATTTGATAGCCATTTGCTCCAAAACGTAAATTTGAACCAAGTGAAATCTATTATGTTTAATCAAATTATAAAGCCTGCAGGTGACGCTTACAATCTTAACTTTCATTTCAGAGTGGAAACAACAGTTTAAGGAAGCTGAATGCAGCCGGTTTGGATATAGCCAAGTTGGAAAACGTTGCCTGATTAAACGCAGCCCCTATTTACAGTGAAGACGAAATTGCATCTCAATTTCTGCAAATCATATCAAATGCCAATGACTTGGCGCCACAACTAGGAACAAAAATTCAGATTTGTCACTGTTGTCACTTTTAGTCTGAAATTGTTTTAAAGCTTATATTAAGTATTTATCTTAAGATGACTTTAACAATAAATGAGTTTGTATGACTGAAAAAGGCTTCAATGTTTCTTCAGAATGGCTGTAATCACTTGAATATCCATTGAGTAATTCCAAAAATAACTAAATAAAACAAAACAAAAATTTTAACATGAAAAAGTGGAGAACTGCAACATGTTTGCAATTGCCTACACTTAAAACGAATAACTTGCTTGACATAATGGTTCCGATCGTACAACCTGTATAATGAAATGAGCAATATAAAACAACACAAATCAATATTTTTTTAGAATTTCTGTTTAAACCTTTCAATTAATATTTATTAGTTAACTAATAGAAGCAATCGCAAGGGTAGGAGAGTGCTCAGTTAAAATTAGAGTAAATTTGTCCATTTGTTAAAAAATACCTTAATGTACTAAAATGTTCCTAGCAACAAACCATGATCATAATAAATGGTTTTACGCTATGAATTTTAGAAGGTTAGCAAATATTTATTAATTTATGAGTTTTTTATCAGCCACTGAGGGATCTGACTAATCTCGGATGGTTTACAAGACGGTAGAAAAATGAATTCGATAGTCAACTCACCACTGCTTGTTGTTGCCATCGTCACTAAAAATGATTGAATTTGTGATGAACATAAAGACATTTAACTGAGTTTAAATTTGAATAATTTGTTAAAAATATTAAAATTATATTCTATTAGAATTTCAAAAGATAAAATTCATTTTTAGAAATCAGAAACAAACTTTTGCATGCGATCATGTTAGGAGACAAGCCTAAAGAGAAGAAGTTTTCTAAGTATGTCAAATCAAATCAGGAAAAACTAATTTGCATTCCATGGACGACGGACCATCTTTCTCCCAATCGACAGTAACTGACAGAATTGAAAAATTGTTTTCAATAGTAAATGTTGTAAATTTTTCATCATCATCAGTTCGTTGATAATCGAATGTGTAATCCAACTGGTCTTTACCGGAATTTTTAACGAGATCCTCTACAATAAAAAAATGACGAACCTAGTTAGTAGAACTGAGCAAACAGAGCTATTCAAAATGACCTACTACAATTTTCCTTGTTTGCAGACCCATTGACCTTCTCTTCAAACCATGCACAGACAACAGCACTGTTTTTCGACAAAACGGTCTGTAAGATAAGAAGTGAAACGAATTCTGCACATCTAATAACTACAAACTGTCGGAAATCTTATTGATTTTATACAATGGGGTGTGTGATAGACTTACCTCCACGTGGTGCATCCTGGGCAACGTTTACTCATTCGGCAAAAATGTCAATTAACCGGCAGTTGACTTCAAACTAACACGACCTCACTGTATGACATACTCGACCCCTACCACAGTACTAAATCAAATTTTTTTCTAATTTTTCAACCCACGTCTTTGAAAAACTGTTCAGTTCATCTCCTCTTGACTATTTTTCACTTGGATGTTTCTTTCCTTCTGTGAAGCCTGGAGTCAACTAAAGGGCTATGGATAACCATCTAAACGCCTGCCATTTGATATAAATAAATTGATTTATTAAAATTTAATTTATCTCATTGGATATTTGCAATTTGAAATTTAAAGAAAATCAATTTAAATATTATTGCAAAATGAGCACAAACTTTTATGCTTTCTGATGCTTTCCTTTGAGAAAACCTATAATATAAAAAATATTAGCTTGAATTTAAAAATTAATTGCATTTCTGCATATCTAACCTTTTTCAACAGATTGGAATTTACACTGTGGAACAATAATGACAACACATATGAAATTTTTTCCAAAATATTGTATTTGATTAATTTCTTCAATGTTATCAATTGTAATATTGTAGAAACCCTGTTAGAGATTTCAGATTAATTATTCAGGCACAGAAAAATGTTTTTATCATTTTTGATAGAACATGGTTTTCCAATTTCGAAATTATTAAAAGTACAGGCGCCATTATCGAAACGCAGGTTAGTGGTCTCCAAATCATCAGAAACAGAAATACGCTACAAGTAAGAAGAAGCGACAGTGGATTTAAACAAATTTCATTTGCATACATCTGACGAATCCTTCTTGATAATAATTGGTTCCGATCTACCAGATGGTGTTGTCACAATCCTGGAACAAATCGAATCAGGCAATTTTGAACACTCGTTTCCAGAACAGTCTCTGGATTGCAGCAGAGCAGAAATGAGTAGAAAGACAATCATTTGTCCTTAACCATGTTACCAACTTGGCACATTTCTATATATGCGTAGGCTTATCCAATCAAACACCACACATGTGTAAAATAGGATCAATAAGAATGAGGCCTTCACAAATGCGAATTTATACTTTACTCGAAATATCGAAATTAATTGAACTAAATTTTATGAGTTTCAATTAATTTTGTGAACGAACTAGGGCTTGCTCTGAAATTTTGAGGTCCTTTTATGTTCAAAAAATTTGAAACCTCATACAAAGCATGCAGATTGGCAAAAGGCCTCTTTTTGTGATGTGTGCATTGCAGAACAATTCTAGATATTCACACATTTGTGACAATTATCAACTATGTGGGTCGACTCTTGAACAAAGACAGTATGATATTTCTGAACGCCCCTTTACATTTTTCGCATTTATTTGCAATAAAGTTAAAATAAAAATAATGAAGACCATTTTCGATTTGGTGTTTCGATGTTTGTTTTGGTTTCTCTAAATACAATAATACACTGCGTTTGCAATGCAATAAATAAATAAATAAATTTAGAAAAAATCATTCCGATATGTCGATGGGGTTTGAGATGTGATGAACATATGCTTCAATTCGCTTTTGAATGCAACCATTCACTTAGCAAATATAACTCAATTCAATTAGATTTCAATTACAATTTATGCTTTTTGAGGTCATGCTACCTACTTTTGTATAGGCTTTATGATTTTAAAAATTCGAGTTGAGAATATGTTTGACAATTCAGTTCAAATATGAAGCATTAAAAATACGCTTTAACGATTTTTCAATATTTTGACTACAAATATAAGTGAATAACTTGCGGAATCACGATGTGAAGCATGACTTTGTCCATTTTTCGAACCAATGAAAATATTATTTCAGTGTAATAAATTTGAGCTAATTTTTAAAAGTCTAATAGTTGGAATGTATTTATGATTTTGTTTATTTTTGCGCCTAGTGGGCAGTAAGTAGAAATCTGTTTAATGCAACATTTGGAGCTTAAAACCAACAGCAATGTTTTGTTACAAAAGTACACAAGTTTTATGTAATTTCGAGCATATTAATTATAACAGGCGAAAATAAATCTGCTTTTATTCTTATTTATTCGCATGGTGACAATCAATTTTATGGAAAAGTTTCAGATTGAAAATTGATGTGTTTCATAAGTTTATCTTTCTTCATCACCTGTTGTATCAATTAAAATTAAAACTTAACCAATAAACACTTAGAATTACTTAATAATTGTCTAAATTATAACGAACAATTAAAATTTTGCTTATTATCGTGACCTATATTTGCAGATTGGTGCATAAATTAGCTTTGTTTTGACTCAAAAATCTCTGTGTCAAATAATATTCACATATGACAAAATTTAAAGGTAAATAATGATCAATAGATGGGGTGCGCGATAGACTTACCTCCACGTGGTGCACCCTGGACAACATATTTTCTTACGACAAAAATGTCTTTCACTCGGCATTTGACTTCTATTTATTATGATTAGCTTTAAAAAAGTCTATAAGAAAGATCACCTTCGTCAGAGCGAATCACAATGTCTTCAGATCCTAAAGTGGAATGCTGGAGGGATGTCACAGGACAAAAAGATCCAAGTCCAGAAAATCCTACAAACCATAGTATTAGAAGACTTCAACGCCCATTCCAACAGATGGGGCTACTAGGAAACAAACATAGTTGGAAAGGAAATTGAAGACATGCTAAACATCAACCCTCTGGAACTTATTTACAGCAATGAGGATCCGACTACATATTTGCACTACAATGGAACCAGAACAATTCCTGATTTACTCTTGCCTTCAAGCGACATCAGTGAGCATACACGCCGCAAAATAATTGACGATCCTGGTTCTGGTCACAAACCAGTCATTGCTAGTATTTCCTTCGGCAGCAAAAGCATGTCACGGAAAGTGCCAACTAAGCTATCATGGAACTTCATGGAACCTTTTAGAGGCTGAACTTCATTCAAGTCCCCTCAACTTCAACCAACATTCTGACAAACTTTGCACTGCTGTCACGAATATTATGATCAGATGTGCAAAGAAAACTATTCCCCGAGGCAAAACTAAACACTATCGAGTGTTTTGGTCTAAACACCTTGAGGAACTGAAAAGAATGAGGGACGCCCTTCGCAACACTGCTGATCAGACTGGAGGAACGGAAGACGTAAAAGCCTGAAGACGACAATCAGCTGTCCTAAGGCAAGCCATCTTACAAGCTAAACGGACTTCCTTTGACAAATTCATTTCAAATATAAACTATCAAAGTGATAGCCAACGCACTTTTAAGTTTCTAAGAAACCTGCAAAACAACAGAGAAAGACCCAAGAAAGAACCAATACGCTTAAACAGCAAATTGCTTACCACCTTGCGAACTTAATTCTGCGATAAAACAGCTAAAGTGCAAGAAGTCTCCTGGCGAAGACAGTATTCATCCAGAATTTCTAATTAGAATGGGACCAAAAGCCAAGAAAACAATGCTGACGCTTTACAACAAAATCTGGGAGACCAGTCTCGTACCTAACCAATGGAAAGTTNCATTACAGCCACAGAGGTGACTCCCAAACCCCTCGAGAAGGCACAGAACCAAGCATTACGACTTATTACTGGAGGGATAAAATCAACACCCATTGATGCAATGCTCCTAGTTACAGGAAGCACCACAATAGGTTCCCTTATCAAAGAGAAGGCCTTGATTCTGTATGAGAAGCTACTGCGCATTCCCATGGATAAGTTCTTCAGCACCTATGATAATAGACCAAGACATCTGAAAACGCAATCTGGTCTAATACAGAAAGCCATAGAACTGAAGAAAGCATTACAAATCGATGACAAACCAAAAAGTCTCTCCTCATGAACCCATTAGCAGACATTGATGTAGTGTTTTGGACCCAACTGCTCGACTTCTTCAGGAAATCAAACACTCCTCCCGAGCAAATGCGCTCACTGGCCCTTGAGACAATCAATGTCAACTATCCTGGAGATCAATGGCTCCAAGTCTTCACTGATGGGTCATACATAGAAAGTCAAGCAAACGTTGGTGCAGGTGTCTATTCTGAACTCTTCTCTTTCTACGCAGCAGCGGGACATAATAGATCCGATTTTTGAAGGAGAAATAGAGGCTTTTAGGATAGCACTATGCCAATTATGTTACCTGGATACGAAATTCACCAAAGCGGTGATACTTTCGGACTTACAGTCAGCAATAGACTCTATTGGAAACAGAGAGACACCCAAAACAGCTGAGATAAAGGAATGTAGAAAACTCTATGAGCTGCTGAGAGAGAAAAACAAAACAGTGGTCCTACAATGGATTCCTGGTCACTGTGGCATTAAAGGTAATGAGCTTGCTGACACACTTGCTAGGAAGGGGTCAACGATTTTGCAATGCATGGACCGGCCGATGTCTTTCCACACAATGAAGGCCTTAATCAGGAGAGAATTCCATAGTTCAAGGTGCAACGAAATTAAAGCTCGAACAAAGGAGAAACAGTGGACAGTGGCACTCTCCGACATACCCGACTGGCCAAGAATCGAAGCCGTTGCTGAGTTTAGACTACCTACCGAACACGATTGCTTGGCAAAACACCTTCACAGATTGGGAGTATACACTCAACCCACATGTTCCCTATGAAGCCTACAGGAGGAAATGGAGAAGACCCATCTGATTCGGTGTCCAGCCCTAAAGACAAGGACAGAAAGCCAAAGATACTGGGAAGCAAGAAGACAGCTAATGAACTGGTATTAATTAACTGCTATAAATGTCCCCCCCCCCCCTCTTTGGGGGAAGCTGAAGTCAAAGATTAAGGGCTAATGATAAATATCACGAAGCCTGCCATTTGAAATAAATAAATAAATACACCTTGACGGAAGGATGAGATCGATCTTTCCTTCAATTGGATGGGAATAGAATAGAAGTCATGTCTGAAATACATTCGTGAGGAGCATTTATCACATATGTCTGAAATGTATGATTCAATTGTAAAATACTAAGGCCAATTTCAGATCAACCACTTCAAGTTCACAGTGGTATTCGAGTGCAGTTACTTCAAATCAGACCACAAATCAATGCCCGTCCACTGTTTAAACAACAAAATGCCTCCAGTACACGAAAGCGCATTTTACAACACAGCTGAATGGGCCTTAGCTATGGTAACACATCAAACGGATGAGTGGTCCAACTCGGTATTCCATGCGTGAATAGGCAAATTGTTTACTTTATTACTAAACGGGACAATTTCAAATGATTTGTCGATAGATGAAAATACTGTTTTGCTTAATCTTAATGGTTCTAGCAAGAGAAATGGAATTATAGCCTGTCGCCTTGTAGTGTACTTGAATTGCATCGACTTCACGCCATTTATTTTATTCCCTTTATTGAGTACATCTCAAATTTTCTACTTGAGTTGTTTTCGTGGAATGGCTTCTGATGACAAAATCTGTCTTGCATCAATTTGAAAGATTTGAAGTAGGCAATTAATCGTGGAAAACTCGAGAAAAAAGTGCAGAGATTCAATTTCATGGCACGAGGGAGGCATATAAAAGCGTGGCGAATGTTGCAGCACACCTCAGAGGAGATGATTGTCAGTCTTATCGTTTTGGTTTTGATGCAAATAAATGCCCCTGCTAGAATAGAGGGTTCCAATTCGCCCGATTCAATATGCTCAAGAGTAGTTGCAACGCCAATTGGGAAAACGGAAACCATGGTGTTTGCTGTAGGCAAACTCCGAGTAAGTATTGATTTGATCAAGCAGAATTTTCATTTTTTGACACCTTCAGACTATTTACCTAATTGTGGATGGAGGTATCATAAGCATCAAAATAGACAATGATACTTGTTATGTGAACAATACACCGGTTGGGAAACCCTGTCGTAAAGAACAAGGTAATAAATCGAATTGAGCACTTGAGACCACTAATCGCCCTAACTTTTAAATAGAATATGTTGAAATTACTTTGAATGACGTTACAAAGTACAGTCAACTGGAAGTAACAGGAGCCACACGCTATTGCATTGCAAATTTTGTTCCAATGTGCGAATTCAAGCCTGTTGAAGAAGGTTAGACAAGTTGTAAGATGAAATTCTTTTGGCTGTTTTAGGACATCTGATACCGGAATTATTATTTCCATTTGCTCGATTTAATGGAGGAAATGATTCAGTTAAAATTGACTTTGCTGCCAAAAAATCAAACGAAGATTTCAAGGTCTGCTTATTTCTCTCTATATTTCATGTCTTCTTTAAATGGCCTACTATTCTTATTGCCCTCTTTGAATAAAAAACATCCCTATTAGTTAGTTGGCTTTAACGTTCTTGCATTCATTCTTCCTTAGAGCACGTTGAAGAAGGGATACGTCGATTTATGCTCCTGGAATGGAATAAGTGCCGCTTCATGGTCAAATTGCAGTGAGTAAATATGAAATGCGATGATTGGGATTACCAATAAGCATTTTCAAATTGCAATTTCTATTTTTTCGACCTCAAGCGAACTTAACCGATAATGTGGCCAAAGGTCAACTAGAGTACACTTTTGAGTACAAGCGACAAAAGGATGAAGAAATTACAGCCTTTTTATTTCGAACGGGCTCATTGTCTGTATCGGTAACTGTCTATTGGATGAAAGGAGGTATTTTCTTTCCTAATAGGCCCTTTTCTTGATTTATTGATCAACTCAAGATATCTGCTTTCTTTAGGCAAATCGCCTGACGTGATTGAATGTCAAAGTAGGTTTAATTTGTTAATTACAATGTAATATACTTCAGGTAACAATGATTCCGGTCTTCATGTTTGAAAGACAGGTGTATTTTAATTATTTCTAACTTTACTAAAGCTACTTATTCAAAATTCGACTAAAAATTCGAAATATTTTAAGAATAATTATTAAGCTAAGCGAATTATTGAGAATAATTTGTTAGAAGTATTTCCAACTTTTAAGTAATTCTTTAATGAAATATCAAGCATAATTTTAAGTTGCCTGATTTGGACTCAAATTGTAGAATATTCTCTTTATTGAGGGCAATATGAATGAGTGCGAGCAAGTAATACGCAGCAATATAAGCAATCTCATTCCAAATTAAAATTCAGTTGAATTTGGCTTTTCGAGAACTCTTAAGGGCAATATGACCACTCTTACTGCCATTGTTCCACAAAGGTGACATTGTAGGCATACGTTGGGCAATATCATTTGTATATTAAATCAATTTATCAATTAAAAAATAAAGAGGTGATTGTGTGCATAAGAATGTAAAGCCAACAATTTGATAGCAATGACTGGTAATTCTCAGCATTATTTATAATAACATCCATCACCATTGTGTTTTGCTTTCAGGGGCAGTAGCAACAACAAGCAGTGGTGAGTCTGAATTCAGTGGTATTTGAGTTCATGGGGGCCAATCGTATCCCAAATGAAGATTTGGGGTTCGAATGGACTTTTAATGACTTCAGAGGAAAAGTTAAAATTAGTTGTCAAATGACAGTCAATTAAAAATTTTTCATTTGCAAATATTTATTATTAAAATATGCATTTCCACATTAAGAGCTGGTTTTATTTGTTCAAATGATTAGGTTGCCGAATTGAAACCATTTTTGCAGGTAAGACAATCTTTTCTCCAGATGCCTAAAAGTGTTCGTGAATGTTGATTCTACTATTGTCTCATGTTTTGCTTTGTTTAGTCCTTTTTGGAATCGTTCAATGGATTTGCCAATGATGTCAGTCATTCGTAGAAATAGTGGCACAAATTTCCATCTTAAATTATCGTTTCTCTTCAAATAGTATCCTCTCAACTTCTAAAATTTAACTTAAATAAGCCATTTCAATGTTCAGTATTGTTTCGAAATTCGTGATTTTGTACGTCGGGATTAATACATATTTCAAAAATGACAGTGATTAACAGCTATTTTAATGTAGAATACCAAACTCATACGTGCAGTCCGTTGATATTAATTGGTCGCATCACATTCCATAAGCCACAAAAGGGTGAGGCGAATGAAAAAGTCATGATTCCATTCAAAATCACAAAAATTGGATGGCTCTACGAAATTTTTCCGAAACTGATTTTGCAGTGTGTGCACTTTTCTGTGGAGTTGAGAATAGTATTGATTGATCATTTTTTAGTGATTATCCCTTGATTGCATAATTGCTTTTCCAAAATAAGTGTGTGAATTGCCATGAGAAAGTTCAT